AGTGCATAAGGACATATGGTGAAAAACAAGTCTGTCTCCTGCTGTTTCCCCTGATTTGCAGGCCCCCTCCCTAAAGGCAATCACTGTTACAGTGTAACAGAGATTTTGACACAATCTTATTGTATGTATCTCCTTCAGCCCCACACATGCAAACAGTAACTCCCTCCACACACAACCTCCTGCTTTTATCATTAACAGTGTAACGCTTGGAGATTGCTGCACATCCACCAAAAACTGCCTTATTCTGTTTGTTTGTTTGTTTGTTTTTGTTTTGAGACAGAGTCTCACTCTGTTGCCCAGACTGGAGTGTAGTGGCACGATGTCAGCTCACTGCAATTTACGCCTCCTGGGTTCAAGCAATTCTCCTGTCTCAGGCTCCGGAGTAGCTGGGATTACAGGCATGCACCACCATGCCCAGCTAATTTTTTTGTATTTTTAGTAGAGACTGAGTTTCACCATATTGGCCAGGCTGGTCTTGAACTCCTGACCTCAGGTGATCCACCCGCCTTAGCCTCCCAAAGTGCTGGGATTACAGGTATGAGCCACCTGTAATCCGGCCTCTTTATTTTTTTTTTTTTTTGAGTCGGAGTATCTTGCTGTGTCGCCCAGGCTGGAGTGCAGTGCCACAATCTCAGCTCACTGCAACCTCCGCATCCTGGGTTCAAGTGGTTGTCCTGCCTCAGTCTCCCGAGTAGCTGGGACTACAGACATGCACCTCCACGCCCAGCTAATTTTTGTATTTTTAGGAGAGATGGGGTTTCATTATGTTGACCAGGCTGGTCTTGAACCCCCGACCTCCGGTGATCCACTGTAGCCAGCCCAAATTTTTTTGTTGTTGTTTCTGAGACGGAGTCTCGCTCTGTCACCCAGTCTGGAGTGCAGTGGCGCAATCTCAGCTCACTGCAAGCTCCACCTCCTGGGTTTACGCCATTCTCCTGCCTCAGCCTCCCGAGTAGCTGGGACTACAGGCGCCCACCACCATGCCCGGCTAGTTTTTTTGTATTTTTAGTAGAGACAGGGTTTTGCCATGTTAGCCAGGATGGTCTCGATCTCCTGACCTCGGGATCCACCCGCCTTGGCCTCCCAAAGTGCTGGGATTACAGGCGTGAGCCACCACGCCCAGCTTTTTTTAATTTTTTTTTGAGATGGAGTATCACTCTGTTGCCTAGGGTGTAGTGCTGTGGTGTGACCTAGAACCTCACTGCAACCTCAGCTCACTGCAACCTCTCCCTCCCAGGTTCAGCGATTCTCCTGCCTCAGCCTCCCGAGTAATTGAGATTACAGGCATGTGCCACCATGCCCAGCTTTTTTGTATTTTTAGTGGAGATGGGGTTTCACCATGTTGGCCAGGCTGGTCTCAAACTCCCAACCTCAAGTGATCTACCCACCTCGGCCTCCCAAAGTGCTGGGATTACAGGCGTGAGCCATCACTCCTGGCCCCTAATTTTTTTACTTTTAGTAGAGATGGGGTTTCGCCACATTGGCCATGCTGGTCTCGAACTCCTGACCTCAGGTGATCTACCCACCTCAGTCTCCCAAAGTGCTGGGATTACAGGCATGAGCCCCTGCGCCCAACCTTCATTCTTTTTTTTTTTTTTTTTTTTTTTTTTTTTTTTGAGACGGAGTCTCACTATGTTGCCCAGGCTGGAGTGCAGTGGTGTGATCTCAGCTCACTGCAACCTCCGCCTCCCAGGTTCATGCCATTCTCCTGCCTCAGCCTCTCAAGTAGCTGGGACTACAGGCATCCGCCACCTCGCCCGGCTCATTTTTTGTATTTTTTTTTTTTTTTTTTAGTAGAGACGGGGTTTCACTGTGTTAGCCAGGATGGTCTCAATCTCCTGATGTCATGATCCGCCCACCTCGGCCTCCCAAAGCACTGGGATTACAGGCATGAGCCACCACGCCCGGCCTCCAACCTCATTCTTAAAGCCTTCCTATATTTAACCAGTCCCCAGCAGATGAAGTACATTATACCCTGCATTCTGTTTCTCATATATATTTTTGCATTCCTGCGCAAATTTATCTGCAGGGTAAGTTTCTAAAAGGGAAATTCCATAGTCTAGACTAAAGGTTACTGGTAGGCCAGGTATCTCAACCTATATTTGGTTCTCAGATCCAAAGGTAGGATTTAAAGAACAAAATTGCTTCATGTTCTGTGGGGTTTCACATGCCAGCCGCAGGTGAGTGCTCTGGGGATTTGCATGTTGTCAGCCAACACCCTAGCCACCTGGAGAGGTCCTCTGTTGAATTAACTGCCCAGCATCTATCCACCCTGTGGACCACCCACAGCAGTGTTGCCTTCAAAAACTTGCCTGTTGGTCGGGCACAGTAACTCATGCCTGTAATCCCAGCACTTTGGGAGACTGAGGCAGGCGGATCACCTGAGGTCAGGAGTTCAAGACCAGCTTGGCAAACATGGTGAAACCCTGTCTCTACTAAAAATACAAAAATTAGCAGGGCATGGTGGTGCACGCCTGTAGTCCCAGCTTCTCAGGAGGCTGAGGAAAGAGAATCCCTTGAACGTGGGAGGCAGAGGTTGCAGTGAGCTGAGGTCGCACCACTATACTCCAGCCTGGGTGACAGAGTGAGACTCCACCTCAAAAAACAAACAAAAACTTGCCTGTTAATTCTCATTTCTGAGATCCTGGAGCTACCTTGGGTGGTGGCCTGTCCAAGCCTGGCCTTTGTTTTGTTTTGTTTATTTGTTTTGAGACAGTCTTGTTCTGTTATCCAGGCTGGAGTGCCGTGGCATGATCATGGCTCACTGCAGCCTCAAACTCCTGGGCTCAAGGGATCCTCCCACCTCAGCCTCCCAAGTATTTGGGATTATAGATGTGAGCCACCATGCTGGCTTGCCTTTGATTCTCTGAGCTACTCCACTTCTTTCCACTAAATCTACCCCGCTCTTTTTTCCCCTTTGGTGAATCAGAATCCATTTCTTTTGCTCCAGATCAAAGAATCGTACCTGATGATCCTTTCTCTATTGACAAAATCAATAACGTACTCAAAATCAATAAACAGCTGACCGAGCACAGTGGCTCATGCCTGTAATCCCAGCATTTTGGGAGGCTGAGGTGGGCGGATCATGAGGTCAGGAGTTTGACTCCAGTCTGACCAATATGGTGAAACCCCATCTCTACTAAAAAAAATACAAAAATTAGTTGGGCATGGTGGTGGGCGCCTGTAATCCCAGCTACTCGGGAGGCTGAGGCAGGAGAATTGCTTGTACCTGGGAGCCCGAGATTGCAGTCAGCTGAGATCGTGCCACTGCACTCCAGCCTGGGCAACAGACCAAGACTCCGTCTCAAAAAAAAAAAAAAAAAAAAAAAGAAAAGAATGTGGCCGAGTGCGGTGGCTCACGCCTTTAATCCCAGCACTTTGGGAGGCCGACGAGGGTGGATCACCAGGTCAGGAGTTTGAGACCAGCCTGGCCAATCTGGTGAAACCCCATCTCTACTAAAAAATACAAAAATTAGCCAGGTGTGGCCGGGCACGGTGGCTCAAGCCTATAATCCCAGCACTTTGGGAGGCCGAGACGGGCGGATCACAAGGTCAGGAGATCGAGACCATCCTGGCTAATATGGGGAAACCCCGTCTCTACTAAAAAATACAAAAAACTAGCCGGGCGAGGTGGCGGGCGCCTGTAGTCCCAGCTACTCGGGAGGCTGCTGAGGCAGGAGAATGGCGTAAACCCAGGAGGCGGAGCTTGCAGTGAGCTGAGATCCGGCCACTGCACTCCAGCCTGGCCGACAGAGCCAGACTCCATCTCAAAAAACAACAACAACAACAAAAAAAAATTAGCCAGGTGTGGTGGTGGGCACCTGTCCCAGGCTGCTTTTTATATCATGTGGGAATGAGGCACTGACCCTATGGGCCAGGATCTCTCCAGGGACCCTTCTCTTGCTTTGTGCACATGCTCCTTAATGCAAGCTACTTGGGGGGCTGAGGCACGAGAACCACTTGAACCCGGGAGGTGGAGGCTACAGCGAGCCGAGATCGTGCCACTGCGCTCCAGCCTAGGTAACAGAGCAAGAATCCGTCTCAAAAAAAAAAAAAGTAACAAGACTCTTACAGCTGTGGAGATCTGTACCTATTCTGAGTGCTTCTCCACTACTTCCTGATACTGATTTAGCTCTGTGTATATATTTGTTGAAGTAATGCTTAAATCTTAGTTGTATTCATCCAGTGCCCTCCCAATCATGTTTTGTGTGGAATAGCATGCTTGTATTCCAAAAATGTTGCAGAAAGAAGACTTGCCACCATGCTGGGGACTGTCCCTGCCCCCTGACCACTTCTGGCCTGCATTACACTCGATCATTTTGGGCAAAAACTACAAATCAAGACTGAGATGTCAGGCCAGGAGCAGTGGCTCATGCCTGTAATCCCAACACTTCGGGAGTCGGTGGATCACTCAAGCCTGGGAGTTCAAGATCAGCCGGAGTAACACAGCGAAAAAAACCTGTCTTTACAAAAAATAAAATAATTAGTGAGGGGTGATGGCATGATGCACACCTGTAGTCTCAGCTACTAGGGATAGTCACAGTTACTCAGGAGGCTGAGGTGGGAGGATCGCCTGAGATCAGGGAGACAGGGACATCAAGGCTGCAGTGAGCTGTGATCACACCACTGCACTCCAGCTTGAGTAACAGAGTAAGACCCTGTTTCAATATAATCCAGGACTTTCTTTGAAGGGAGAGGGAAACAGGACTGTCTGACATGTGGGAAGATTGTTTGAATTCTCCAGCCTTCCCATTTGGATGTTTTTCTCTTTGTGTGAATGTAGCCATAAGCTGGCTCCTTATAGAGGCATAGGCAGTAGTTGAAAATACAGGTCCTAGAAACAAGGAAGTCTGGGTTTGAATCGGGACTCAGCCACTTTCCAGCTGTGTGACCTGGGACAAGTCCCTGTTCCTCTCTGAGCCTGGAGCTACCTGCTTCACTACCCAGAACTGATGAATGGAAAGCACTTGGTACAAAACCCAGCACAGACTTGGCACACA